GTATTGAAAAAAAAAAAACCAACCAATCCTTCTCAAATTCTGTGAGGAAAAAAAAGAGAAGGAAGTATACTCCAATTGATTCCATAAGGCCAATATTATCCTGATACCAAAGCCAGACAAACATAACATCTTTTTTTTTAGTGATAAAATAAATTGTTTTAATGGGAGGTTTTCTGAAAGAGCAGCTTTTTCTTGTGCTATCCAACAGCCAGCTTCCCTTCTAGGGTTTTTGGGGGTGTCTTGGCTGAGGCCCCAACCCCATCAGAAGCTAGGACATTATATTCACCCCATACTCAGCCCTTGCATGGGTCCAGATGTGTGTCTTTACATCAGGAGGTTGGAGTTAGCTGACAGTCAGTCCAAAAGAGACAGTCCCTGTGTATGTCCAGGCTTGAGGAAGGGGGCAAGGGCTTCACTGCTGCCTTAGATATTTCTTGCTGGGGGAAGAGACAGGGAGCAAATCAGAAAAACTGCAGACCAGTATCCATAAATATAAACACAGAAATGCTCAATGAATCATTAGTAAATCAAATCCAGCAAAGTGTAAAAAAGATCATACACTAATAACTGAGAAGGATTTATCCTATTAATGTAAAGTTGGTTTAACGAACTAAAAATAATGAATGTAATTCAGTGTATTACTAGAGAAAACCAAAGCCATGTGGTCGTATGAAGAGATGAAAAAGCTATGACAAAATCCAACACTGATTCACAATAAAAGTCAACAAAGTTGGAATTGAAGGGAACTTCCTCAACCAGATAAAGAGACCCTAGAAAAACCTACAGCTGGCACCATTTTCAGTTGTAAAAGAATGAAAGCCTTTCCCTTAATTGGGAACTAGCCAAGAATGTCTGCTCTTAGCATTTCTATTCAGCAGTGCCCTGGGGACTCTAGTTAAAATAGTCAAGCAAGAAAAATAAATAAAAGGCATTCAGATGGAATGGAAGAAGTGAAACTTTTTATACACAGATGACATGATTCTATATGAAGAAAATTATAAAGAATCCACAGAAAACTACTAAAGCTAATAAATAATATCAGCAAGGTTCCAAGATACAAGAACAATATACAAAATCAATTGTCTTTTATATGCTAGCCACTAACATTTTGAAAAGGAAATTTAAAATATTATCAGTTCTAAAAGAATAAAAACATTTTAAATACTCGTAAATAAATTTCAAAAATAAGTGCAAACTTGCATACTAAAGAAATCATAAAAAATTGCTGAACAAAATTAATGGACAGTTTATATAAGTTGAGAGATATTCCACAATCATGGATTGGAAGACTCAAAATTATTAAGACAGCAGTTCTCTGACAAATTGGTCTAC